GAGAAAAGTGCGGCAATGAATGAATGGAAATCCAAAACCTCTGTAAATGTCCATTAAAATTAATAATAATTTTTTAAAAACCCTCAGATTTTTTTTTTAAAATGAAGTATAAAATAAATAACATTACATTTATTTTTATACCTAGAGGGACGTCATGCTCGGGAGGGTGAAGGTACAGTGCAATAGAGGAAGACCCTCTATGATGGGAGTGTCGGAGACAGTGCGATTGGCACAGGACAGAGCAGAGAGTAGTCTGACACACATAACAGAAACAACATAATCATATATATATACACACACACACACACACACACATACATATATATATACACATATGTATACATATATATAGCACAAGTTTTATAATATGTATTCATTTTCAACTTCTCCCTACTTTAAATAAAGCTTTTTATTTCATCCTGAGATCTTAATGTAAATAATTAAAACGGAAGTGATGTCCATTCCTCAGCCGAAAGCGATGGCATCCGTCAGTTGTCAGTTCCTGAGCACGATCTCTCCCTCCCACCCTCTCTTGTGCCCCCTCAGCAACTGGCGGTTCACCTGTGGAAGCACAACGAGGCGTTGGAGGGGCTGGAGCACGGGATCAAGGGCTCGCGGCGGCTGGAGAACTTCTGTCGAGACTTCGAGCTGCAGAAAGTGTGCTACCTGCCCCTCAACACCTTCCTCCTGCGGCCGCTGCACCGGCTCATGCACTACAAGCAGATCCTGGAGCGGCTCTGCAAGCACCACCCCCCGAACCACGTGGACTTCAGGGACTGCCGAGGTGCGCGGGGGCAGCGGGGTGCGGGGGCCACCGGACGCGGGGTCCTCGAGCAAGGTGGGCCGGGCCGACTGCCCGCTGCAGGAGGAGGGCTCCCCGGGGCAGCAGGAGTGTCCAAACTGTGTCCTCAGTTTTCATAGTTACAGAGTGGTGGTGGTGGTGGTGGTGGTAGGTGCCATGGAGTCAAGACAACTTATAGCAACCCTAAGTTCAACAGACTTCAACCCTTCCCAGTGCTGTGCCAGGCTGCTCCTTGGAAGCAAGGATTTTGAAGCATCACCTGACATACTTTGGGCATGTTGCGAGGGACCAGTCCTTAGAGAGGGACGTCATGCTTGGGAGGGTGGAGGGACAGTGCAAGAGAGAGATACTCTCCACAAGATGGATCAGTTCAGTGATTGGGGTAGTGGGAGTAGGTGTGTCGGAGACAGTGAGATGCACAGGATAGAGTAGGGCTTAGGGCTTTTGTACATAGGGTCACTGCGAGTCACAAGCGACTCGACAGCACATAAACAACAATGTCCTGTTGCCATTCTCATCATCTCTGACACATTTGAGCCCGCTTGTACAGTAACCATGTCAATCCATCTGTTTGAGGGTTTTCCTCTCCTCACTGACCCTTCCTCCACCTTTCCAAACATAGTGTCCCTTTTCAAAGAATAATTCCTCCTGACAGAATACCCAAAGTATGTGAAGCAAAGCTTCATCATCCTGGCCTCCAAGAAGCACTGTCTGCCCTTTCTCGAAGCCATCTGTTTGTTCTTTTTGAAGTCCATGGGATATTCAGTACTCCAACACCACAACTTGGCATGGCATTGTGGTGATGTTGTGTACCATGTTGTGGTGGTGGTGGTGGTGGTGGTGTACGATCAAGTCGAACTGGCCCATAGCAGACCCTCTGGTGGGTTTTCAGGGGCAGTTAATTGCATGAGAGGAGATTGCCCATCTTTCTCCCACGGAGCAGCTGGTGGATTTGAGCCACCTGTCTTTGGGATTTCAGCACAGGTTCTTATCACTAGGCCAGCAGAGCTCCCTCAAAGGCATCATGGGTAGTCTTCTTTAGTATCTGATCAATTATTTTTGTTAAATTTTAATATTTCTATAAAACTCTCCACAAGAAGGGGAGATCTGGTGGCCTAGTGTTAAGGAGCTGCAACTGCAATCCCAGAGGTGCACGGTTCGAATCCACCAGATGCTCTGCCGGAGAAGGAGGGACAATCTCCTCCTGTACCAGTCAGATCTGATTTTACGGTACACTCACACAAAAATAATAAAATAAACTAAAAAAACAAAAAAAAAACCTCTCCACAAGAAACCAGACCTTAAGTTGTTCTGTCTCCTGTGTGGTCTGATTTTTCTTGAGAGTTTTGTGTTTTTTTTTTTCTTTCTAAAGTGTTTATTTTAATGAGTTTTTTAATATGTATTCACAAAGTTATACAATTATCATAATTTTCTAATTTTTATACTGGTTTATTTACAAAGTTCATATACATTGTTTTTCACATCAGATCTTTCCCCTTTCCTTTACCCCCACCCCCCCATCAAATTGTGTGACCCTATGATTAAGCTCCCCTCCCCCACCCTGCCCATCCTCACTCCTCTTCTCCCACCTCTCCTCCTTGGATCCTCATACTCCTCTTCCAATAATGGTCTTTTACAGTATTTGTCCTTATAGGACAGAGTTAGTTCACTTAGCATAAGGCTCTCCAGTCCCTCCCAAGTTAGGTAGTAATTTACAAAATCATTGCTTGTGCGTGCTGCAGAGTATTCCATTGTGTGAATGTACCATCATTTCTCAATCCATTCCATTGTGGTTGGACATTTGTGTGGTCTGTTAATGTCTGTACTCGCTGGTCTGGTCCGTCTGCCCCTTGAGAACAAGGCCCTGAGGCTTGTTGCTGAATCCCCTGCATTCTTCACCAGGGCTGTCCACAGAGATGCCAGCTGTACATATTCCCTGAACAGAATTCCCAAGAATTTGAACATTCACTAAGGAGTTGAAGCCCTTATCTCTTGCCTAAAGTATTCTAAGCATCTCTTATCTCTCAGTTCTACAGACTCATCTTTTTTAAGTACCACTTTTACTCCTTTGATTAAAATTTGGGTGCTACTTGATTCCCTCAGGATAAAATGTAAACTCCTCCTGATCTGTCCCTCAGCCAGGCTCTCTTGCTGCAAATTCGCATTGAGTAATCCTCCAGTATGATTTACCGCCTCTGAAAACCAGCTAGAGATCAGCTACAGGTTGGTTTGGACTCGATGGTACACCACAACCACAATGGTTGATGCTATTGATGCTAAGTGTTCAACAGAAAATAAAGGAGGTACACACGGCAGCTGACCTCACAGAAGCACATTCCAGTGGGCTTACGGGCAGTCACTGACGTTGTTGGGCCATGTCGTAGATAGTAGGCCTCATTGAGCGCGTCACACGGTCTTGGGGGGCAGGGAAAACCCCTCTGAGTGCAAGTCTCTGAATTTACAACTACAGTGTCATAGGAGTTTTCCTGCTTGAGGTGAGGATGGGAAGATAAGAATTAGGAAGAACATGAGTCAAGATCCAAGAGAGACTATGGAACATTCCAGAAGGTGAAGGACATCCCATGCGACTCAGTTATGGAATACAAAGGGATATGGAGAAGGTGTAATGAAGAGGTTGAAAAAGTAAACTGAGAGTCATTCCCCCCGTGGTCTTAACAAAGCTTATGAGACCTAAAAGCAAGGGGAAGACAGGAAAGGCTTTCAGGAGGTGAGTGGTAAGATCAAGATTGTTCTAGAAAGGACCCCTCAGTCTCTACACTGTATTTACTGTTGCTCCAGGCCTCCCAGCACAGCTCCTGGTTTGCATCTGGGTGCTGCACCTGTGGGCTTGTTCCTCCAGGCCTCTCAACCTGCCTCCCAGCCTGCATCTGGGAAGAACTCACATGGCATTTCTCAAGCTGAAGGAGATGAAGAACAAACTCAAGCCTCGAGTTACAACACTTAGAGATGCTGTGGGCTGAGTATTGAATGATCTAAGAAGCATTGGAAGAAGATGGAAGGAATACACAACGTCACTGTGCAAAAAAGAATCGGCTGACACAGAACCATCTCAGGAAGTAGCGTAAGATCAAGAAAGTTCAAGCCTCTATGAAGGTACTGGCAAAAAATAAGACTCTAGGTATTGACAGAATGCCAGCTGACCTGCTTCAACAAACAGTTGCAGCCCTGGCTGTACTTCCCAGGTTGGGCCAAGAAATGTTGCAACCTGGCCAGTGGACTGTAACAGATCCATGTTTATTCCCATTCCCCAAAACAGTGATCCAGTAGAATGTGGAAATTACCACACATTATCATTAATATCACTGGCACGCAAAATCTTCGTGAAGATTCTCCAAAACCAACTAGAACTGTACTCACTTCAGCAGCACATACACTAAAATTGGACCGATACAGAGAAGATGAGCATGGCCCCTGCGCAAGGAGGACACGCAAATTCATGAAACATCCCATGTTTTTAAAAAAGAAGAATAATGAAGGGGTGCGGGGGGAGACAAGAACAGTACATTGACAGAGAAATGCCAGAAAAACAAACTAAACTGGGTTTAGAAGAGGCTATGTCACTATGGATATAATTGTTAATGTCAGATGGAATTTGGCTGAAAGCAGAGAATGTTTGTGTTTTATCAGCTATGCAAAGGCATTTGCCTCTTTGGATCACAACAAATCATGACTAACATGAGGAGAGAACACACTCAATCACGCTCGTGTGAAACCTAGACCTAGAACAAGAAGCTGTTGTCTGAGCAGAACAAGGGAACCCTGCATGGGTCAAAGTAAAGAAGGAAGTGCACCAGGGATGTATCCTTTTTTCAGACCTTTTTAATCTGTATGCTGAACAGATCATGTGAGAGGGGGGACTTTATGAAGAAGAATGTGGCATCAGGATTGAAAGATGATTCATCAGCAAACTGTGTTATGCAGAAGACACAACCTTGCTCACAGAAACGGAGGAGGATTTGAAGCATTTGCTGCAGAAGATCAAGGCCTTCAATATGGAATATGCAATCTTAGCATCAGGAAAACAAAAATCTTAACCACTGGGTCAATAGGCAGTATTATGATAGATGGAGAAAAGACTGATGTTGTTAACAGTTTGATCTTGCTCAGATCCACTCTCAACACCCTTGGCACTAATCAAGTTGCCTTGGGAAAATCTGCTGTCTGGGACTTCTAAAGAGTGCTAAAGAGCAATGATGTCCATCTAGAGATTAAGGTGCACCTGATCCAGGCCATGGTCTTCACCGTTTTTTGTTGTGTATCTGAGATCTGGACATTGAATAAGGATCATCGAAGAATAATAGATCCCTTTGAGTTGTGTTGATGGAGAAAAGGAATATAGCATGGACTGCCAGGAGAACAAGCAGGTCTGTCCGGGAGAGGGTGAAACCAAGTTGTTCCTTGGAAGTAAGGACTTCGAATCTCAGTCTCACATATTTTCAGCATGTTGTCAGGAGGGACCAGTTTTTGGAGAAGGACATAATGCTTGGAAGGATGCAGGACCAGTGCAGGAAAGGAAGACCCTGGATGAGATGGATTGAAACAGTGACTAGCAATGAAGTCAGTGTTTCAGAGATAACGAGGTTGGCTCAAGACAGGGCCAGGTTCAGAGTCGTTGTTCGTAGGCTCACTATGAATCATAGTCAGTTCAACACCACATAACAACACCAACAATACGGTGTCTCTCTGGAGACTAAGGTGCGCCTGATACAGGCCATGGTCTTTGCAATCACTTGTTATGCATCAGAGAGCTGGACAGTGACCAAGGAGGATAGAAGGAGAATTGATGCCTTTGAGCTGTGGTGTTGGAGAAGAGTATTGAATGTACCATGGACTGCCAAGAAAACAAACAGATTCATCCTGGAGACGGTTAAACCAGGCTACTCCTTGGAGGCAAGGATTCTGGGGCTTCGTCTGACACACTTTGGGCATGTTGTAAGGAGAGACCGGTCCTTGGAGAGGAACATCATGCTTGGGAGGGTGGAGGGACAGCGCAGGAGGGGAAGACCCTCTATGAGGTGGATTGATTCAGTGACTGGGGTAATCGGGATGAGTGTATCAGAGGCAATGAGATTGGCACAGGACAGAGCAGCGTTTAGGGCTGTTGTACATAGGGTCGCTATGAGTCGCAAACAACTCGACAGCACATAACAACAACAATACGTTGTTGTTGTTGTTAATTGCTGTTGAGTCGAGCATGACTCATAGTGACACTATGAACAAAAGGCCTGAAGCCTTTCGATAACTATCATCGTTTCTCCCAAGTTCATAGAGTTTCCATAGGCATGTAGTTTAGGAAGTGGATACCACTCCTGCTTCCAAACCGCTGTGTAATAGTCTCCATTTCTACAAGTTAATTTCTAGAAAGATAGCCCAATTTAGTAAAATCATTAAGACATTGGCAATTCATAGAAGTAGATACTAGTTTTGTGAAGTGCTGTCAAGTTGGAACCAAGTCATAGCTGACCCCTGTGAGTGTATTTCCAGAGACATTAAATTGCACAGAAGATTGCCGCCTTCTCCTGTGGAGGAGCTGGTGGATGTGGACTTTATGACTTTGAGTTGTCAGTGTAGCTTCTTGTCACCAAGCCACCAGAGCTCCCTTGGACATAGAAAAGAAAAGGCTAATGATCTGGACTGATCTGTAGTCCATCTTTGGAACAAGCCATGGCTGTCCCCTGCCTCCTGGTCTTCCTATTATTGCTGCATGCCATGACTCCTATTCTTTTCCTGGTGAATTCGTCTTCGAGACCCCAGCAGCATTCCTCCTCAAGGCCCCAGCATATGACTGATCTTTCATGTTGAGCTGATCTCACCCAACTTTTCCCATCATATCGACACTACCAATTGGCCAGGTCTGAATGAAGTAACTATAGCTGGGGACTCTGAACAGATACATAACCTGTGAGGGCAAAGGAAAGTTAATGGTTTTATGTGTACTGTTCTTGGACACATTTGCTAAATTTTCTTTTTACTAATTTTTTACTATACCTTATAGAGCAGAAGTAGTCTTTCGTTGGCAATTAAATGGAAAACTGTGTTTAATTGCTTTATTATCAAGCTTACACCTCAAGTGGCGTCATTGTAGGAAAGCTGAGGAAGACAAGGTGTGTTGGAACATATATTCTCATGCTGAAGGTATATCTGTTCTTCATGTAAGAAAATGAAGGTCGAAGGTACCCGGATGCTGTGCTCCATGAGCACCTGAGGGATCTGACTCTGTCTTTTCTCTTAGAGCGTCCTTCCTCCCACCTGTTCAGCAGTTGGTGCCCAGTAAATGCTTACTGGGGGGCTCTTGTGGTATGGTCTCTAGGGAGTTACATGGCTAGCTCAGAAGCTGCACCTTTCTGGAAGTTTGAATCAAACAGAAGCTCCTTGGAGAACAATGGACAATCTTCCTGTATAATTTACAGCCTCAGAAACCATCTTTGGGGTCAGCTGTGAATCAGTTCTGACACGGTGTCTATGAGAGTTAATGATTGCTGAACCCAGTGGGGTGATGATGTCAGAAAATAAGGAAAGCTGTGATCATCATGATAACTGAGACACAGCGTTCTGAGATAAATCTAATCTGGGAGTGTATCATTTGCATCCCCAGGGAGAAAGTAGAAAACAAAATGCTTTGTTCCCAAAGCTGAAATGCTGCAGAGAGGAAGGCTATTGAGTGTTCTGAAGACTAAAAGTTCAGTCTATAATTACTTCTTGCTTTCATGGGGAGGTATTATAAATGTGAACATTTTGGGAGAGAGTAGAGACTAATGCTCATCCAATGTGGAATAAATGTAATCATTGTCACTAAATTGTGTAGAAGTTGTTATGTTGATAAGTATTTTGGTGTGTCTGTCTTTTCATTACAGTTTTTGACAAAAACTACATATACCCAGCTGCTCTATTAACTATGACTTCGAATGTCCTTCCCACTTGAATTAACTGCATGTTAGCTCCTTCCACATAGTGGGCAGCTGACAGAGAGGGAGATGCCCATATTTTGAGAAAATGTCAATTTTGTAGTTACCCTTTGCAAGCACCTTACTATATAGTGATGCCAACAGAGGGAAGAAATGGATGTGCTTGGGTAGTCATTACCCAAAGTGTTACCAAAGCTAATTGGACCCTCTCACAAGTGACCCAGGCATTTTGCCCCAGACATTTCAATGACGTTGTTTTTTTTTGTTTGTTTGTTTGTTTTGTGGTTTTGTTTTGTTTTTGTGTGTGTGTGTGTGTGTGTGAGTGTACTGTCAAATCAGATCTGACTGGTACAGGAGGAGATTGTTCCTCCTTTTCCCGGCAGAGCATCTGGTGGATTCGAACCGTGTGCCTCTGGGATTGTAGTTGCAGCTCCTTGCCACTAGGCCACCAGAGCTCCCCTTGACGTTGTTTTATGCTCAGTGAATGCTTTCCAGGTAACAAGAGAGAGAAAAACTTCTCTTCTGTCCCCTGAGAATAAAAATCAAGGCACTCCTACTCCCAGGTCTCTCTGTGCCAACCAATTATTCAAATGGCAGGACAGCTGTGTGCCCCTTAGCTGTAAATGGGTCAGTTACATTTGCCAGATGTCTTTGGGAAGTAAAGCCATGCTCACATAAAGTAAGTTGCTTCATGTTTATTTCAGGGGCTAGCAGTGTTTTTTGCTAGAAGCACAGCTTCTAACAGGGCAGCTACTGCAGGATATTATCCTTAGGAGTTGAGCTTAAAGATGTTGGGGGCAAAGGCTGCCATTAATACCACAGATTGTGTCTTTTTCTTTAATTAGCTGCTTTGGCAGAGATTACGGAAATGGTGGCACAACTTCACGGTACGATGATCAAAATGGAGAATTTGCAGAAGCTGCATGAACTCAAGAAGGATTTGCTTGGCATCGACAATCTCGTGATTCCAGGAAGGGTGAGTGGCAGGCTCTTGGCATGCATTTGGGATGCAGCCAGGAAGAAGCCATTTAAATGACTGAAATTTTAATCCTTTGAATATTAACACTCTCAAGTCAGAATTTTTTTTTTTCTTTTGTTTATCCTTTTAACAATCCATGGAGTATTCACTCCTCTTCTTCATTGTCATCATTCAAAGATATTTCTTCTGTCATTTTTTATTCATTGTCTGATTTTCAGATGCCTAAGAATCAGTAGAGAAAATAGGATGGTTTGGATCTAGGTGCATGTTACTCTTTAAACTCCCATCTCAGGCCTTTGGACATGTTGTCAGGAGGGACCAGTCCTTGGGAAAAGACACCATGCTGAGAAGGATGGAGGGTTAGGGAAAGAGAGGAAGACCTTCAGCCGAAGGGGCTGACACGACGACTGTGTAGTGAGCACGTCGGAGACATGAGGGTGGCACAGGATAGGGACGGTTCACATCTGTTGTCCAGAGTCGCTATGAGAAGTAGTGATTCGGTGGCGCCTAAACAGAAAGGACTTGAGGTGACCTATTTTCTTGTCCTTGGAGAGGGACATCATGCTTGGAAGGGTGGAAGGACAGACAGTGCAGGAGAGGAACAGGATAGGGACGGTTCACATCTGTTGTCCAGAGTCGCTATGAGAAGTAGTGATTCGGTGGCGCCTAAACAGAAAGGACTTGAGGTGACCTATTTTCTTGTCCTTGGAGAGGGACATCATGCTTGGAAGGGTGGAAGGACAGACAGTGCAGGAGAGGAAGACCACGGATGAGACGGATTGTGATTCAGTGACTGGAGCAATGGAGGTTGGTGTGTCGGAATTAGTGAGACAGGGCAGGCTTCAGAGCTGCTGTACATAGATAGGGTCGTTATGGGCCACAGGCAACTCGACAGCACATAACAACAACCACATTTTATTTTTTTTAAAGAAACTTGGTTGGTGGAAATAGGAGATAAAGTTATTTTTTTAAAATGTGAAAAGTTCTTTTTAAAAAAATATGGGAAGTCTGAGAAAGAGGGGATAAAGAATATATCCTGCATTGAAACAGGTGAGGGAGAGAAATGTTTAAAAGGGATATATGATTAGGTATTATTGTCAGGACAAAAGTCCAGAATGAAGGCTGCGTTGTGGAATGGACTTGGAGAGAGAAGGATTGTATAACAATGAAAGAATTTTTTTTTTACTTTTTTTTGTTTTGTTTTGTTTTTTTTACTTTTTAAAGAGAAGTGCTAACTGAGGGGAGAGAGTGGACAGGGAGAAAAGTGCAACAGTGAATGACTGAAAACCCTACGTCTCTGTAAACTTTAATTAAAATTAATTTTTTGGAAAGCATTAAAATGGGGGAAATAGTGATCAAAAGCCAGGCTTTCATGAAAGCGTGCTGTCAATTCCTGAGCAAGTGTGAAAGCTGATTTTAGAGAGTGTGTTTTCTGTACATAATTTAATTTTAACTAGGAATTAAAATGACATTTACCTAGAAAACTGTTCTGGAAATGAGGCAGTTCATTTGGACCTTTGACTTTCATTTCCCAGCACACCTTGTTACGTGAAGTTCAGCCCCAGTGAAATGGGGTCTTGTTATGCAGACACAGTCCTTCCATTGGGCTTTACAGCATAGCCTCATGTGCCATTTTCTCAGTTACCCTCCTAGGAAGCTCCACAGGAATCAGAAATGTTCTTCAATTCAGCATCTCTTCAGATCTCCCCCTCGGCTCTTTAACCCCAGTAGCCATCTCAAAGAGTGTGTCAGCTGGGCTCCCATGAGAAGTGTCACCTTTTGATCTCCTGCGTGGCTGCCTTCCCAGTGTTCCAGGGAACTCACCTTCTCTGACAGGTGGCTGCCCTAGAAAGCCAAAATGTGTCAACTCAGGAAAGAGCAGGAACTCTCCCTGTGTATCTGGGTATTCTTGTCAAGAAACCTAATTATAAAACTGCCTGAAAACAGGAGTTGCATGGGATTTTCAGAGGAGTTATGTGGTACGAGCTGAGTGAAAATTAAAGCTGGGATTTGCTTCTGCTCTGCTGGTGAGGAAATCCTGCTTGCCCTCGGCAAACCACATTTACTCATCCGTGAGGAACCCTTCCGAAAAGCCCCATGGAATCTGTGTAATTTTCTCTTAATATCTAATGTTATAAATTATTCAGCACAGCATGCTACAGGACAGACAGACCCTCTGTAAAGAATTTCATCTTTTGGCGAGCTCTGGTGGTCTAGCAGCAAGAAGCAGCACTGTGACGAGCTTTGGTGGCCTAGTGGCAAGAAAGTATACTGCAATCCCTGAGGTGAACGGTTCAAATCCACCAGATGCTCTTCTGGAGAAGGAGGAACAATCTCCTCCTGTACCAGTCAGATCTGATTTGATGGTACACACACAAAATAATAAAATTTAAAAAAAAAAAAAAAAGCTGCACTGCAATCCCAGAGGTGCATGGTTTGAATCCACCAGATGCTCTGCTGGAGAAGGAGGGACAATATCCTCCTGTACTAGTCAGATCTGATTTCATGGTACATGCACACACACAAAAAAATAAAATTTGGGGGGAAAATAATTTCCTCTTTTGAAGACATAGTTCTCACAGTAGAGTGAAAAGGGCACTGGGTTCGAGTACTCAGGCCTGGGGTTCAAATTCTAGCTCCGTTAGAAATAGGATCCTCACCTATTGAAACTTACCTCCTCTTGTGCTCCCTGTGCAAAATTCCTTCCAGGTAACAGGAGAGAGAAAAGAAATCCCTACCCTGGGAATAAATCAAGGCCCTCTTACTCCCTGGTCTCTCATGCCAGCAGATTATTCAAATGGAAGGACAGCTGTGTCCTTCCCATTGGCCATAGGATGAAAAGAAATTTAATATGTAAAAAGAGCCCCAAATAGAATTGGCTTGCCCAGAGGGTGTTGGGGTTTGGTTTTATCGGGTATGAAGCACTCAAAAGTCAAGCCGTCTGACTCATTTTGCAGCCTTCCAGAATTTCCATCAAGTCGATTCTGATTTCATTGCATCTCACCCACCGTCAGAATTCTGAGGCTGTAAATCTTAATGAGAGGAGATTGTCCCTCTAGCTCCTTAAAAGCTGCTGGTGGATTTGAACCACTAGAGACACGTAACCTTTTGATGAGCAGAGCAGCACCCTACACACTACAGCAGCAGAACTCCTTTATATACAAGCCCCGCATTGTAGAAAACGCCAAGAGCATTGAGCCAGGGACCAGTGCTGTCACGTACCAACTGGGTAGAGGGCGAAGCTCTTCAGAGAGCCTGGTCTTCCTTTCCTATCGCTACCATAAGAAAGGTCCACCAGCGGGTGACTGTAAAGCACTCATCGTTCAGGTGGCTGGAAGTCCACGTTCAGGCTGTGAGCTCTGGGAGAAGATTCTTTATCTCTTCCTGGCTCTCATAGCTGCCAACACTCTTTGGTGCTCCTCTCTCTTGTTGTTATGTACTATTGAATCGGATCAGACACAGTTGACCCTCCAGCGGGTTTTCAGAGGCAGTAAATCTCACGGGAAGAGACTGCCCATCTGTCCCCCCAGAGCAGCTGGTGGCTTTGAACTGTGTGCCTTCATGTTGGCTGTGCCCCTCCTTAACACGAGGCCACCAGAGCCCCCTTGGGTGTTCCGAGGGTTGCAGGTTCACCACCTCAGTTTCACATGCTCTCACACCCTTGTTTGTCTCTCAGTTCTCCTTTTATAAGACATTACTCAGAAGGGACTTGATTTACATCCTCATTTACTGTCTCCAGTCTGGTGGCATAGTCTATAGACAGTTGTGCTGTGAACCCAAAGGTCTTGCTTCTCAAGAGGTTCAAATCCGCCAGTTGCTCCATGTGAAAAAGATCCTGTGTGTTTTATAGCGTTGGAAATTCAGTGGATGGTGAGCTATGAATGGGGTCCAGTTAGATGCAGTGTGGCAGCATTTGGGTGAGTTTTCTATGTAGCATGATCTTGTTAACATAACAGAAACTAAAACAAAAATAAAACCCTTCAAACACGTTGCCATCGAGTTGGAATGGACACATAACTGTCCCTCCATTGGGTTTCTGAGGTTGTAAATTGCCAGGGAGGAAGCTGCCTGTTTTCTCCCATGGAGCAGCTGGTGGATTTGAACTGTTAGCGAGAGGTACTTCCTGGACGTTAACAACAAAACTCTCCACCAGAGCAACTTTAATAGAAAAAAAGGAAACTCCCATTTCAAAGTGGTTATTTTTATGTAAGGCTTAGGGCTTCAACACATATCTGGAAGGGGAAGGATATAATTCAATCAGTAAGAGTTATTATTATTGATCAGGGTGAAATCAGCAGTGGAATGCTGGCTCTTAACGGCACCCTGGCCTTACTCTACCACGTTTGCCCCATAAGCTGCCTCATACGCATTCACTGTTTCAAGTCAACCCTGAAAGAAATGGGGGAAAAGAGGTCCTTGGAGGGAAGGCCATAAGAAAGCACCACGCGCTCCAGGCTAGTGGATGATCCTGAGTGTTGAATTCTCGAACAGCGTAACGGCTAGAAGTCAGGTTCTGATCGATTTGTCTCCTTCCAGAATATGAAACGGTGAGCACTGCTTTCAAGGCACCACTCAGCCACCTGCAGTCTGGTGGCTCTAAGCATGCCTCCAGGCATAATTCAGGGCCCAGAGGCCGCATTTGCCCGAGACACAAAGGCCCCAGGCATTGCGCCAGGCCTTAGCGGGTGTTTCCATAGCGGGCGTCACAGGGGTGGTGTGCCAAAAGAGTTTTCCAGAAATGGCCCTCCAGAAAACGATGGACTGCACTCCTTTTCAGGAAAAGGAATAGATTGGGAACAGGGGCCACAATAGAAGCTTTTGGTGGTTTTCTTCAACATGTAAACCTGGAGACCCTTGGATTTCTTTCTGAAAGAGAACAGCAGGAACTGAAGTATCTTGGGGGAATTTTCTTGTTATCTCTTTCAGTGGTTTTTAAATAGAAAAGGAATTTTAAAAAAATAGAAAAGGAATACTTTCTTGGAAAGAGACACCTTCCACCTCAAGACCTGAGACCTAAACTCCTGAGTGCAGAGCCTCGCAGCGTGCTGTGACTGACACCCCATGGAGTGGAGCACTCGTTCCCTTTACTCATTTTTGCGGGGCTCCCAGACCCACACAAGGAGCAGCTGAGTCCCAGCAGAACAGCTGGAATATGCATGTCAGTTTGTTTGAACAAGAGTGAGCACAGCTCTTCAGGGTTACTGTTCCTCATTCCCTGTCACTCTTCAGTCTACAAGCAGTTTCTCTGAAGCACCATTTCCTCATATAATATTGCCGATTTCCAACAGTGCCCAGGAGCCCTGGTGGTGCAGTAGTTAAGCACTTGACTTCTGACTGAAAAGTTGGTGGTTCAAATTCAGCCAACTGTCTTGGAAGCTAGACCTGATGATGTGGTCCTAAAGATTACAGTCTAGAAAACCCCATGGGGCAGTTCTGTCCCTTCTCACAATGTTGTTATCAGGAGAAATCAATCCTAACAACAACAATATTATACACTTCTGAGGCACTCAAAAGTGTTACTTTGTTGTTATCCAAAATATGCCATACTGTCACCACATCAGTCTTTGATTCCAGGCCCACAAGAAGTGACTTGCACCTTGCAGATGTCTCAGGGGCCTGATGGTAAAGTGCATTTGTCCTCAGTCCTGAGGGGTTCCTCCCCCACAACACACCAGCTGGGTAGTCCTTGACTTGCTGCTTTGTTTCTTCTGCTAAAGGAAGTTGGCCTGCCGCAGGAGCTCCTGGTGACGCTTAGAAATTGGACAGCTCAGTACCTGCGACACAGCATTGTTCCTGTTAGGTGCTGTCGAGTAGACTAGGACTCCTAGTGACCCTGAGAACAACAGATCAGATCCATGAGCTGTCCCGTTCCAACTTCACAGTCTTCGACACGTTCAAGCTCTTTATTCCAGTCGTCTTGTTAAGGGTCTTCCTTTTATGCGCTGACCCTTTCCAGCATGCTATCTTCTTCCAAGGACTGACCCCTCCTGAAAACATGCCCAAAGTATGTGAGACCAGGTTTCAGCAGTGTATTGGATACTCAGAATGTTTTGGGGTTTTTTTTAAAATCTTTTTTTACTATTATTTTGTGTGTGAGCAGGAGAGGCATCCACTTCCAAAATAGCTGGCCTCTGGAAACCATGTGAACTTGGAGAAACGAAGAAAGTTCATAGGGTCGCTATGAGTCGTCCATGACTGAAGGGCATTAACAACAACAACAACTGTCAAATAAGATCTGACTGGTACAGGAGGAGATTGTCCCTCCTTCTCCAGCAGAGTGTCTGGTGGATTCGAACCACACTCCACTGAGATTGCAGTGTAGGAAGCCACCAGACCTCCCTTCTTCAGAATGTTTTCACCCACACCAGCCCAGAGGCATTAGTGCTTCTTTGGTATTTCTTACTCATTTTCCAACTTGCATATGCATTAAAAACTACTATGGCTTGGCTCAGGCACTCTTGAGTCTTTACATTGACATCTTTGGCTCTTTGGAGAGGGCCTTGACAGCAGATTTCCCCAGTGCAACATGTCTTTAGATGTCCTGCCTGCCATTGCCACGGGTATTGGTTGTAAATCCACGTACAGTGGATTGATTGACAGTAGCAGGGAGCACTCAATATTTGCTGTTGTCTTACCGTGAGAAGGGAGGCCTGGCGGAACTCGGACTGCATTGGTACAGGTTTGCAGGCGCTCAGCCGACTCTGGTGTTTTCTTCTCAGGAGTTCATCCGCCTGGGAAGCCTCAGCAAGCTCTCTGGGAAGGGGCTGCAGCAGCGCATGTTTTTCCTGGTAAGTGGTGAGAAGGCTTTGCCTGCCCTGTGATCCCCCAAAACACTTGAGGCCCTTGGGTGGGGAGGGTCCTTGGGCCAAGAGCAGTCTCAGGTGGTCAGATCCAGTCCCTGTGAGCAATGAACTGTAATGACCCTGGCAGACATTATGCTGGGTGAAATAGCTCAGTCACAAAAGGACAAATATTGCATAGTGCTATTGTTGTAAAAACGGGACTGACATCGGGGCTGAGGGGAGACTGAGAAAGTGGGGATAAATAATGTACATTGCATTGTAACAGATGAGGGAGAGAACTGCTTAAAAGGGATATATGATTGGGTATTATTGTCATGACAGGAGTCCAGAATGAAGGAGTGGACTTGGGGTGAGGGATTGTATAAAAATGAAAGAATTTTTCTTTTACTTTTCAAAGAAAAGAGGGAATTGGGTGGGAGGGAGTGGGCAGAGATAAAAATGCAACAATGAATGAATGGAAATCCGAAGTCTCTGTAAACGTTCATTAAAATTAATAATAAAAAAATAGAACTAAAACACACCGAAGCGCATCCTGCTTTCTGCCGGAGACTCCCTTTCATCTGCGTTTCTCCTTGCTTTCCTAGTTCAATGACGTCCTGCTGTACACCAGCCGAGGGCTGACGGCCTCCAATCAGTTCAAGGTCCACGGGCAGCTGCCCCTCTACGGCATGACCGTGAGTATTCGCGCAGTCGCTGGCTCAGGCCCTTCCTGCTGGGCTGTTTTCAGATGCTCAGGCCTGTCCGCCATGGGACAGGCTTGTGTAGGTGTGTGTCTGGGACCGTTAGCATCTACTTTGTGGATACAGAAATGAAACACCTAGAGGCCACAGTGGCGGATACTTGTTAGATGCCATCGAGGTCCTACAGGACTTGTGGCAACCCCGTGAACAACAGGCCTGCACCCTGCGCAGTCCTGTGCCGTCCTCATCATCTGACACACTCGAGCCCAATGCTGCGGTCACTGTCGGTCCGCCTCATTGAGGGTCGTCTTCTCGTCACTGACCCTGCACCTTTCCAAGCCTCTCTCAGAGGAGCAACCTCTCCTAGCAACATGTCCAAAGTATGTGAGGCTTTGGAAATACTTCTTAGAACCAATTACCTCATGGCATTTGCTTCCTGGGTTTGAAGGTTTAGCGTCATAGTCTTATGGGACATCATATAGTTCATCAAGTTGATTGTCAGTATCCAGTTAGGGAAGTGGCTTCTGGGATCATAAAATTGTGCAGGTAGACCGTTCGAGCAAAAGAGGAGGAATACGACCAAAGACGTAAAGAAGAAACTGGTCAGCAGAACTCACAGTGCACAAGAGCCTGAATTCATCCACCCCGAGACGAGAAGAACGGCTCTCACCGACCACTGTTGACCCTCTGACCAATGCTGCAACAGACAGCGCTGCAGACAGAGCAGAATGCAGGGCAGAGGCTCCAGTTCTAAAAAATCAAACAGTGACAACACTCAGATATGCAGGACTGATTGAGCTCAGAGGGCTCCCCTCTGATTATAGCCTGAGAGGCCCTTCAAACCTTAAAACCAAAACCCGTGAGGCCCTCTGTTAGCGAACCAAGGCTAGTGCAGAAAATCATCGCTGTCACCTGTGAGTTCTGCACGCCTGGAGGAGATTGCGTGTCTGGAACCCTCGGAGCGCTGGCTGGCGATGGAGTTCACAGAGCGTTGCACTGCTGATCAAAAGGCGGTACCTCTCCAGCAGTTCAAATCCAACGGCGGCCCTGCAGAAGAGAGATCGGGCATCACCACCTGTGATTTACAGCCTCAGAAATTTAGTGGAGGGTCAGCTGTGACCATCCCCTCTGTGAGGTCGTTGTTGTTGTTGTTATGTGCCATCTAGTTGCCTGTGGCTCATAGCGACCCTATGTGCAGCAGCTCTGAAGCCTGCCCTGGCCTGAGCCAGTCTCACTGACTCCGACACACCCATCCTCCTTGCCCCAGTTTCTGTATAAGTCCATCTCGTCTAGGGTACAGTCAAGTTTAAACCAGGGCCAGGGCCAGGGCAACTAGATTTATGGGAATGGAACAATGAGAACAAAAGTTTTGACAATGTTCCTGAATTGTGAAGAATAGAAATCGTTTATCTAGTAATTGTTGAATGGGAACCTCAACTGCTATTGTAAACCTTCACCAGAAACACAATCTAATATTAAAACCAACCCGCCAGCACCCCAGGTCGTCCGCTGCGATGGAGTTCACTGTAGTTCTGGGCGGGTGCATGCGTCACAGGACAACTCTGCTGACATTGCAATGGCTGGTTTTTTGGAGGGGGTTTTCTTCTGAGGCATCTTTGGATGAACTCGAACCTCAGACCTTTAAACTAGTAGCCAAGAACATTAATTATTTGCACCACCCATAAATCAAGTCCACGCATCACAGATGCCATTGTGTAAGAAGCTACGGCTCACAACCACAGGCCCTCCGTTCCCCCTGCCCCTTCCACCTGTAAGAACCCCCGTCCTCAGGACAACCCTGAAGTGACATGTGTCTACTCTCAGCGCACACGGAGGACACACGGCTCATTTTCATCGTCTGCGAGAAATGAAGAGGCATGAAGAGAAATGTTGGGGCAGCCATGTGAGGGCCCGTTTTGGCCCCATTGTCCTGTGCCTTGTATTTGCGGCTCTGAAAGGCAGCTCTTAGCGTGTTGTTCTTGGGTGCTGTTGGCTAAGATCCAATTTAAGACTTTCCTGTGGGGAACAGAATGAACCGAACAACAGCATGAACCCGGCTGGCCCCGTGCTGGCCTCACGGCCGCCGTGGTGCTTCTGTTAGGCCAGCCGTTGTGCGGCCCTTTAGTCTCTCCTTTTTTGCTGACCTTCCACTTTACCAAGCAAGATGTTCTTCTCTGGGACCTGACCCTTCCTGATAACATATCCCAAGTGAGGAAGCTGAAGTCCCACCATCCTTGCTTTTAAGGAGTTTTCTAGCTGCCTTTCTTCTAAGACTCAAACTCAGAAACTCGTCGCCTGCCGGAACCAACTCACGATCGAGGCTCTAGTGGTTTTTCTGGGTGGTGAACTGCATGTGAGGAGTCACCTGTCTTTCTCCCAAGGAGCCACTGGTGGATTTGAAGGGCCAGAAAGAGCAACTCCCTACAAGGCCACAAGAATAATCCACAGTATAGTAATAGTCTTTGCCAGAATCATCATTCTGAGACATCAATAATTCTTTAGTCTTCCTTATTCTCTCTCCAGCTGTATACATGGAGCCCAGTCTACAGAAACCAGACCAGTCAACAGAAACTAGGAGCTTGTGGGCTCTCCCAAGAACGTTTCTTTTGTTGTTGTTTTATTCATTTTAAATAAAGTTTACAGAGACTTAGGGTTTCCAGTCATTCATTGTTGCACTTTTCTCCCCCCCACCCCCTCGCCCCCAATTCACTCTTCTCTTTGTAAAGTAGAAGAAAAATTCCTTCATTGTTGTGCAATCCCTGCCCCAAGTCCACTCCACTATGCAGCCTTCATTCTGGACTCCTGTCATGACAATAATATCCAATCATATATCCCCTTTAAACTGTTACCTCCCTCATCTGTTTCAATGCAGTATACATCATTCCTCCCCTCCTTCTCTACCTTCCCTTAACCCTGATGTCAGTCCCATTTTACAACAGTGGCCCTATGCAGTATTTGTTCTTTTGTGTCTGAGATATTTCACTCAGCATAATGTCCTCCAGGGTCACCCATTTTGCATAGTAATTCATGAGTTCCTTGATTTTCAATGCAGCATAATATTCCATTGTGTGATTATACCAGAGCTTCTCTGTTAGTTTTTTGGTGGGCACTTGGGTTGTTTCCAGCTCTTTGCTATTGAAAACAAAGGCACAATAAACATGAGTGTGCGTCCCAAGAACATTTCAACGTGTGTTGACTTTTCCTGCCTTTTCCTTTTGTTCTTCAAAGTTCCTTCTCCCTTTTCAAGGGGCTTCCATGCCCGCCCGATCCCTGCTGAGTCCTGTGGTCTTTTCTTCAGCAGATGCCTCAGTGGTTTGTTGCGTGACAACACATCTTGTGTCTTGCTCTCTGCTTGGCACTAACGTTGTGAACACTTGTCTCGCTGCAGATAGAGCAAAGTGAGGATGAGTGGGGGGTGCCCCACTGCCTTACCCTCCGGGGCCAGCGCCAGTCCATCATCGTGGCCGCCAGGTAACTGGGGGGCCAGCCTCCTGCCTGTCTCCTCACCCCTTGCTGGGCTCTGAAAACCTGACAGCCACCTCTCTCCTCAGCTGTCGGTCAGAGATGGAAAAGTGGGTTGAGGACATCCAGATGGCCATTGACTTGGCCGAGAAAAGCAGCGGCCCAACCCCTGAGTTACTGGCCAGCAGCCCTCCTGACAATAGTGAGTACCGGGGGTCAAGGGAAAACACTATGACCTTGTGGAATTATCAGTGGAGGTGAAAGAACACTTCACATTACATTTAAAATAAAATTATTCTGGAAGTCTACATTTATGTATAAATTTAAAATCAAACCATTTCCTTTTTTGTGAAAGTAAAATCCAGTGGCTAGTGTGAGGGGTGCATCATTTGCCACCAGCATTGCCCCTTGTGATGGAAGCCACATCTGAGGATGCAAAGTGCAGGGTGGAGGGGTCTCAGCGTGGAGCTGAGCAGAAGGCCTTTGGGGTCCCCCCACAGCTGTTTGTCTCCCTAATTCATACTTCTTATGACATCATGGAGCCCCCAAGGCCAGGCGGCTTATCCCCATTCTGCCCCTGGGTCCCTCTCCCTCTCAGATGGGGTTCTGAGAAGGATGAGTAAGAAGCCCCACCTTTTGCCTGCAGAGTCGCCTGATGAAGGCACGCCCGGTGACCAGGAGTCGGAGGACGACCTCAGTGCGTCCCGCACGTCGCTGGAGCGCCAGGCCCCGCACCGTGGGAACACCATGGTGCACGTGTGCTGGCACCGCAACACCAGCGTGTCCATGGTGGACTTCAGCATCGCCGTGGAGGTACGGCTAGGCACAGGGTCCCCACCTGGGCTGCTGGATGCAGAGCGGAGAGAGCCCACCCAGGCCTGGCATGTCTGCTGTTCAGGGTGCAGCCAATGCACAGCTTCTCCTGGTTCCGCAAGTGCAGTGTCTGTGGACCCCAGACCCGCAGCGCGTGCTTCTCCCTTGTGGAGACCCCAGGGCCCCAGAGCAGCGCTGCTTCAGAGGGTTCTCAGGGGCTGAGTCCACTAAGAAGTGGACTGAGAGAACCACGAGGTCCCCAGGCCTGCCTTCTTAGGTACCTTGGGGTGGATTAGAACTGCCAGCCTCTTGTTGTTGCCAACCTATTTGGGGAATGTTACTGGAACCCTTTGCACCACCAAGGACTCCTGCCCCTCTGAGAGGAATCATGTTCTCTTCTCTCTGCACTGTCTCCACCCTTGGCTTCCTCTCATGGGCTCAGCTGTTGGGCAGAGACTGTTCTGTGCTGCAGTGTGCCCAGGTCCTGAGAGACTTGGGCACAAATGCCTGGGGTGTCACGTAGGTTCTGACTCATAGGGGACCAGCGGGTGTCACATAGGTTCTGACTCATAGGGACCAGCGAACAGGGCGGAACTGCCCACGTTCAAGGGCTGCGCTCTTTATGAGAGCAGACTGCCTCTTCGTTCTCCCATGGAGCAGCTGGTAGGGCTCGAACCAACAACATTTCAGTTACCATCTGAGGACTTTAACCCCCATGCTGCCCGGGCTCCTCAGAGGATTGGACAGTAAGGCCCTCCGTAACTGAAACGTTGGTGGTTCAGATCCACCAGTCACTCCACTGTCTGCAGCAGACAACCAAGCAGAGCCCTGGGCAGCCAGAAACACCCCCTCAAGGCCAGCCCTCCTGAGGTCACAGACCCCCAACCCGAGTCACAGTCTTCTGACCTCTGGAATCAGGTGGATATACAGAGAAGGGTCCGCTGAATCCAGCCTACAACCTGAATTTTCCTGGTGCATGAACTAATTTACATTTAATTTACAAATGCTTAGCCCACTAGAGCTTCAATTTTATCTCTTGTCCAGAAGAACCCACGATACGTTGATCTCTAAGTTTGCAATCCCTGCTACAGCGCATTAAAAGGACACTATATCTTGATGTGGTGGTGTTTTTAAGAAGGCTGGTCTGTCACTCTGCACGTGATCCTTCCCTCTGGCCCAGTGAGCACTGCTTCAGTGTGGTGTGCAGAGTAGCTGCCATTGGCGTGGTGTGCACAGCAGGTTGTCTTGGTGTGGTGCGCACAGCAGCTGCCTTTGGTGTTGTGTACACAGCGGGTTATCTTAGTGGGGTGTGCACAGCAGGCTGTTTTAGTGTGGGGTATACAATGGTTGCATTCAGTGTGGTGTGCACAGCGGGTTGTCTTAGTGTGGTGTGCACAGTGGGTTTTCTTAGTGTGGTGCACAGCAACTGCCTTTGGTGTGGTGTGCACAGCAGGCTGTTTTAGTGTGGTGTGCACAATGGTTGCATTCAGTGTGGTGTGCACAATGGGTTGTCTTAGTGTGGTGTGCACAATGAGTGGGCAGTCTGCAGTGTGGTGTGCACAGGGGCCTGCCCAGGACTACTCATCCCAGAGACTTGTGGGGAGAAGGCACCCTCTTCCCCTTAACTCTCATACCTCTCACTTCCAATTCTCTCTGTTTATATTTATGACTAGTGCCGATAGAGCTGGACAGTGAATAAGGATGACAGGAAAAGAATTGTCGTCTTTGAGCTATGGTGTTGGAGAAGAGCACTGAACATCCCATGAACGGCCAAGGGAACAAACAGTTATATCTTGGAGAGGGTGCAGCCGGAGTGCTCTTTGGAGGCAAGAATGATAAGGCTTCACCTCACATACTTTGGGCATGTTGCTAGGAGGGGCTAATCCTTGGAGAAGGACAGGATGCTGGAAACGATGGAGGGTCAGTAAAGGAGAAGACCATCAACCAAGTGGATTGACACGGTGACTGCTGCAACAGGCTCTTGTGTATGAGGATAGGGCAGGATAGAACAGGGTTCAGATCTTTTGTTCACAGAGTCACTAAGAGTCGTACTGGACTTGATAGCACCTAATAGCAACAATAACAACAGTGCCAGCAGAAATTAGTACCAGTTGTTTAGGGACAACAGGGTTTGTGACAGTCCAGGGAGAACCATCATCCATTAGATGTTTAGTCTGATGTTGGGATAGCCGTTGTGAAGATTTGCCTTCAGGCAGTGACGTTAGTCTCAACAGAGGGTTCTAAGGTGAAATGTTAGAAGTTGTCTTTTGAGGTTGGAAGTGAGTGAAAGCGAAGTAGGGGTTATTCTGCAGTCTGAGAGGCAGGGAAGGTCTGTCACTGGGAAGACAATGAGGAGAGAAGGGAGACCGTACCAGGGGGACTGTGGAGAGGGAATGCTGAATGACAGCCCTAAGCCAGTGAGGTCAAGGACAAAATGCAGAGGGGATGAGAAGGAGTAAGAAAAGGTTGGTGGGGGTGATTATTACCAAGTATTTGAGTCTCTTAAAATGGCAAGCCTAGAGGTATTTATTCGGAGAGCTTGAACTTGGTTTGTCCCAGACAGGATTGGAGGTGGCAGGCAGAGTTAGAGTGCGAATGAACCTGCCATGGAAAATAGCTGCAAACTGGGGTCTGGTTCATCTCTGAAGGACAGACATCACCCTCGTGACTGGCTCTGGTTTCAAGACCAAGTGCTTAAGAGAGAAATAGACTTGAGAATTCAGTCTAAAGGACTTTGGTTCTGCATACAAAATAGTAACTTTAAGGATGTGGGAGGAACTGTGTCCTCGCCCACAGTCTGATCTTCCAGAAGTGTTTCCTCCCCACCCAGGTGGCCGCCAGCACTTCCATAGGACCCACTGTCCCCTGTTCTTGACTGTTTCAGCTGGTGGGAGAGAGGCAGCCAGGCAGGGTGAACGGTGCCTCCTGCAGCCCTCGGGGGGTCCAGGGGTTCATCTGGCTGCTCCACCTGGGGGGTCCCCTCTCCTGTTTGCATTTGGAGGGACCCAGCTCGGTTCCTGCTAAGCTTTGTGCCTCCCAACAGAACTGGGCTGCATTTCCCAGATCCCATGTTGACACATCATCTTCCCCTTCTTTTCTGTCCCTCCCATTCAGACTGGGAATTACCTTGAGAGCAGAGACTGAATTTAAATCAAAACGACCTTGTTTTCCTCTTACCACCGGGTACGGGGCCCTGCATACGCACAGACTGGCATTGAGTCAGTGCTCACTCAGCGTGACTCGGCCACAGGAGAACTGTCTCGTAGGATTGCTGAGCGTGTGGATCTTTTTGGAAATAGACTGACACTTCCTTCTCCCTTGGAGTGGCTGGTTGGTTCAAATTACCAACTTTTTGGTGAACAGATATATGTTGTTGTTGTTGTTGTTGTTGTTGTTCAGTGTCGTTGAACCAGCCATGACTTGTAGTGACTGTAGGGACAGCAGACCTGAACCCTGCTCTGTCCTGTACCATCCTCACCATTCCTGCTGTCACCAAGCCCATTGCTCCAGCCGCTGTCAGCCCATCACAGTGAGGGTCTTCCTCTCTTTGACTGACCCTCCACCTTTCCAGGCGTTACGTCCTTCTTCAAAGACTGGCGTCTTCTAACCACATGCCTAAAATATGTGAGGTGGAGTTTCATGGTCCTTCCCTCTCAGGAGCTCCGTGGCTGCATCTTCTCCAAGACATATGTTTGGGGTATTGGCAGTTCACGGGAGATTCAGTGCTCTGCTCTAAAGCCCTCATTCAAAGACAGTGTGATTCTTCCACTGCCGTCCTTAGTCACTATCCAGGTTTCTGAAACAATTGAAAAGAACACGGCTTGGATCAGGCCCACCTTGGTCTCACTGGTTCTGCTGCTCCTCCAGACCTTGGAGAGGTCCCTGACCAAAGACAGGCACATTAAAATATTTTTTGGATTTGGTATTGTTGTTATGTACTATCAAGTCACCTGTGACTCATAGTAACTCTGTGTACAGCAGCTCTGAAGCCTGTCCTGAACCAGTCTCACTGACTCTGACACACCAGCCCCTTTAGCCCCAGTTACTGTGTCAATCCATCTCATCCGGGGTCTTCCTCCTGCACTGTCCCTCCACCTTTCCAAGCATTATGTCCTTCTCTAAGGACTGGTCCCTCTTGACCACATGCCCGAAGAATGTGAGATGGAACTTCAAAATCCTAGCCTCCAAGGAGAAACTACTTGGTTTCACCCTCTGCAAGACAGATCTATTTGTTTTCTTGGCAGTCCATGGTATGCTCAAGACTCTTCCCCAGCACCACAACTCAAAGACTTCAATTCTTCATTCATCCTTAATCATTGTCCAGCTCTCTGATGCAAAGCAAGTAACTGTGAAGAGCATGTCCTGGATCAGGCACACCTTAGTCTCTAGGCTGACACCATTGCTTCTCAGTACTCTAAGAGAGCAGATTTTCTCAGTGAAATTCTTCTTATTACTGACTGCTGTTGGCAAGGGTGTTGATTGTGGAGCCAAGCAAGCTGAAATTGTTAACAATCTCAGTCTCTGCTCCATCTATCATGGTGCTGTCATTTGGCCCAGTGGTGAGCATCTTTGTCTTCTTGATGTTGAGCTACAAGGCATACTGAAGACTATAGTCCTTGGCCTTCAGCAGCAAACACTTCAGATCCTCCTCAGTTTCAGCAAGCAAGATTGTGTCATCTGTAATAATGTAGGTTTTTGATGAGTCTTCCTCCAATCCTGATGCCACATTCCTCCTCATAAAGCCCAACTTCCCACATGATCTGTTCTGCATACAGATTGAAAAGGTATGGAGACAGGACGCATCCCTGACACACTCCTTTCCTGATTTTGGACCATGCAGTATTTCCTTGTTCTGTTCTGAGGAATGCTTCCTGGTCCAAGTACAGGTTTCACGTGAGCACAATGAAATGTTCTTGGATTCCCATTTTCCTCAAGGTTAGCCACAGTTTGTTGTGATCCACATAGTCAAATGCCTTTGCACAGTTAATGAAACACAGACATTCCTCTGGTACTCTTTGCTTTCTGCCAAGATTCATCTGACATTGGCGATAATGTCTCTCATGCCATGCCTCTTCTAAACCCAGATAAAGAAAGCTAAGCATCCAAATTAAGACAGACTAGGAAGAAGGATCCTCCATCCACTTCCAAAATATAACAGGCCTTTCTTTGACAACTATATACAGTAGAGCACACTTGTAGTTTCCTGGACTACGCATACATTTTTGAGAGAAGCAAGGTAATGGTTCGGCGGTAGAATGCCTGCTTTTCACATGGGAGACCGGACCCGGTTTGGAGCCAGCTTCTCTCCTGTGCGGCCACCACCCATCTGTCAGTGGGGACTAGAGTGTCTGCTGTGATGATGAACTTAGTTTCAGTGGAGCTTCCAGACTAAGACTAGGAAGAAAGGCCTGGTAGACTGCTTCCCCAAATCAGCCACTGAAAACTTTGTATCACGGCAGGTCAATCCTAATTGTGCACGGAGCTGTTCTGAGTTGAGGGCCGGCTGGACGGCAACTAACAACAGCAACACTGAAAAGATGCCAGAGGATCACATGCTATGCATGTGCTGTGAATAGCGTGTCCACGTGGCTAGCACACGGGTGTGCTAAGAGTAAGGAAGACCATTCTGGCTCATTGCACACAAAACGTGCTGGTGGTTCCCCTTTGACGGAGGGGTCAGAGGAGCCACAGTCTTGTCAGGTGTGGACAGACTGGTGACCCCGAGGGCCTTGGAGACTGGCTTTGGGGCACTCAGATTCTCAGTGCTCTTAGCACCTCTTCCAGCCGCCTGTGAATTCTCAGTGTTGTCCTCCTCCACCACTTGCTACCCCAGGTCTCCACCCAGCTGCACTCGAGTGTCCTCAGGAAAGCCACCAGGGCTCTATGGAGTTAAACATGGGCAACCCTGTGTGTGGCCTGGAGGGGGTCTGTCATACCTGTTTCTGCTCATTTATTCTCTGTGATCTGGGGAGGGGTCCCTTCTGTGCAAGGCAGAGATCAGAAGGGTTTTCTGTTGACAGCCAGGCAGTAAGCAAGTCTGGCTCTGGCCCTGGGCTAGGCAGATGTGGGCTGGTGCAGCCTGGGCGCAATTCCATCCCGGCTTCACTAGATGGCAGCCTTGGGCTGTGTCAGCGCCACTCACGACTTTACTTTTCCTCTTTTTATTATTGGGAGATCTGGTGGTGCAGACCCTAGGGAGTTACACAGCTACCCAAAGGCAGTGTCTGTCTGGCAGTTCACATCCACTGGACACTCCGTGCAAGATGGGCAGTCTGCTTATTTTACAGGCATGTCGGTTCCAACTTGATAGCAATGAGTGCCTCAAGTCTTAAAAAATTATAATGGGAAAAATATAAATAACAAAAAGTTGGTCCTTTTAATCACCCTTAGGTGATAACTCAGTGGTGTTGATTGCACTCACCTGTTGTTGGGTGTAGACAAGGTGGTTGACCGGGTCAGGCTCACAGAGTCTGTTGAGAGGGTCATCCAGGCCCCCAGGAATCTCAGGACCCGTGTTCTTCATTCTCGGCTTACCTCCATCATAGAAGTCTGTTCCCACACTTCACCTCAGGAGCCCAACTCAGCTTTGGACACAGAGTTGCCCTTTACACAGGGCCGGTCAGCAACCCTGTGCCATGTTGATTGGATGAGCGTCTCTGTTGTGCTTCTTACGGGACGACTTCTATTTCAGAATCAGTTATCTGGGAACCTGCTGAGGAAATTCAAAAACAGCAACGGGTGGCAGAAGCTGTGGGTGGTGTTCACGAACTTCTGCCTCTTCTTCTACAAATCACACCAGGTGAGTGCCTTGCACGAGGGCCTGTGGCCTGGGGAGCTATGCTTGCGACAGGACACTGAGGGTCACGAGGCAGGTGGGTGTGGGGTTGGGGAGAGCCCTGGGGGTGGGGACACACACACACACACCCCAGCCCCCCTCCCCCCTGGAGGCTCACACACACACACACACACACACACACACAGCAACACCTGTGGTCACAGGGTGGGACCCAGAGCCGCAAGGTTAGAGAGACTTTTGCCAAGACTGGTCATCTTTCTGGAATCACCATCCACAGAGCGAGCCTGGCTGAGCAGCTCAGGCCACCACAGATGGACAAGAGCCACATAGCACCTGTCACTGGCATGCAGGGTCATGTCCACCCGAGACCCACGGCTTCCTCAGGGAAGGCCGGTGTGGTCTGTGTGCTGGAGCTCTGACAAGGGCCTTCCTTCCCTGTCTGCTGGCTGGATGAGGGGAACCTGGGGCCACTTAGGGGAAGGCTCGCCCCCTGGCCTGGACTTGCTGGCTGGACCACAGTGAATCGGCAGGGGGCAGCTTCCAGGCCAGGGGCCTCAGGTGCAGCGGCCTGTGCCCTGGGTTGCTGCTGTGCAGGCAGCCAGACTTAGGGTGGAGACCACCTCTCCAGTGTCACCTTCCATCACTCCTGCAGGACAATCATCCTCTCGCCAGCCTGCCTCTGCTAGGATATTCGCTCACCATCCCCTCCGAGTCCGAGAACATCCACAAAGACTACGTGTTCAAGCTGCATTTCAAGTCCCACGTGTACTACTTCAGGGCGGAAAGTGAATACACGTTTGAGAGGTAAGTGATCTGCTTTCCTGTGCACAGGGCTCCGCAGGACAGAGGAGTCAGCTCTGCTCGTTTGCAGGGTTCCTCCTCCACCACAGGGTCCACAGGCTCCCCCAGATGTGGCTCCTGCCTTTCCTGTGGATGGGGGTCCCCGCCACACTGAGCCCTGCAGCAGTAAAGAGCGGAGTCCCCTCATCCACTTCCATTCTCACGGAAGGAAATGCTGTTACTGTTTTACTGTTTTCCTTAGTACCAGCTGCTTAGTGCCACATGCTCCTGGGTTTCACATCTCTAACTTGTGGGTGTCGTCAGATCGATTCTGACTCAGGGTGACCGCAGGTGAGATGGTAGAGCCTCCCCTCTTCAGTCCCTTTTCAGGACTTCACAAGAGTGGATCACCAGATCTTTCTCCAGAATAGTTGCTAATGGGGTCAGACCACCTGCCTTTGTGTTATATCATGAAGCAGAGATTCGATTCAGTGCGTTTAACAAAGCAGACACCACGCTGGCCCTTTGCTGCCTTGGCCAAGAAGCAGCACTGGAAAAGCAAGAATAAAACAGCTCAGGAATAGTTCTGATTGAGCTGAAGCCAAGAGGTTCAATTCCAGGTCAAATCACCATACAAGGCTGGAAAATGAGTCTAGTGCATCTTAAGTGTTATCTTAGTGAGACTGCCTGCATGGCTTCAGTGCGTGCCAAAACCCAGGGTCATTGTGTTGGCTTAAACAAGAAAGAAAAGCAAAAGATCCAGGCACTGGGGTTTAACACCTGGCTAGAGACTCTTCCTCTAGACTAAGGCCTTTCGGAACTAACGCGTCCTCCACGGCTCCATCCATTGTTGTCTGGTGTCCACTACAACACAGACCTGCCAATGGACAACAGTTGGAGCCCCGGTCCTGCCCTGCGCGCCCTCACTCTCTCTGTATGCTTCAGCCCACTACTGAGGGGCTGTCCATCTCACTGAAGGTCTTCCTTTGTTTCGCTGATGACTTCTTTAAGTATTTTCTTCCGCCAGACCAGCCCCTCCTGACAACATGCCCAAAGGAGGTGAGATAAACTCTCACCATCCTCTCCTCTAGCCCTGCCCCTGATTACACTTCCTCCAAGAATGATCTGTCCTTTTGGCAGGCCATGGAATGTTCCTTTCCCCTCACCCACACAATGCATAGGTATCCATCCATTCTTCTTTGGTCCTCCTCATTCATTGCACAGTTTTGACATGACTGTGAAGCAATCAGAATTACTGTGGCTTATGTCAGGCTCACTTTTGTCTTTAAATATGTATACAGGCTATAGAGGCAGCTGTCACTGAGAAGCTGCTATTTTGGGGGGATCACAGGGTTACCAGTCAGGTGGGCCATACATGCCACATCTCCAGATCAGCCTCTCCCTTGGTCATGTTACTTGATAAGGCATTAACTTACTCTCTCACTACCCAGGGATATTGAACACCCAGTGGTTTCTGAACTGATGGGCCACTGAAGACCTCTGCACAATTCTAGTGAAGTTGGTACTATGGAAGGTCACAGTGGCCTCCCCAAGGTTTAAATGTTTCTCCATGATGTCCCGCAAAGGGCAGTTCCCAACCAGCTGCACTGCATGGAAAATGATCCCAGAAGATAATAATTTCTCAAAGATGAGTGGCTGAGCCTTTGAGCAAGTCAGCATCTTGGTTTTGTTGCAAGAATTATTTGATCTTGGAGTTATGAAAGCCCAGGACAGATCAGTAACTGGGGTTTCTAAGTGCAGGCATTCCTCTTGTCATTCTGTCCACTTTGTGAAAGGCAAACAGCTTGGTGTAGCCTAAGCGTTCTCTCCCTTGTTGTTGTTGTTATGTGTCATCAAGGCGCCTGTGACTCATTGCGACCCTGTGCACAGTAGCTCTGAACCCTGCCCTTTGCTGAGCCGGTCTCTTGCTTCCAGCACATCTGTTAGGCCAGTGACTGTCAGTCCATCTCACCCAGGTCTTCCTCTCCTGCATACCCTCTCCCTTAGCACCTGGTTAATTATTTGTTGGGGGTGGTATAGACTCTTTAGCCTGTATTCACAGGATGCCAGTCTCACACCACTGCCCCCTCGGGACAATCAGGAATGTCTAGATTTTTTACAGATGTCCCTGGGAGACAAAATTGCCCCTTGTTGAGTTCCAACTATCTTCGGTGTAACAGATGAATCCCTGCCCCGTCCATTCATTGTTGTCATAGCTGCTGCAGCCATTGGGTTGGCCCTTCCCCAAGGGTCTTCACCTTTCCATGGACCATCACTTTACTAACCAGTGACTGATACCTCCTGATAACATGTCCGCAGTACGTGAGAGGAAGTGTCCTCATCCTCCTGTCTAATGAACATTCTGCTTGTACTTCTTCCAAGACCTATTTGTTCTTTCTTCGAGCAGTCCATTCGGTGTATTTCACCAATACCACAATTCAAAGGGATCCGTTCTGTTTCGATCTTCCTTATTGTCTAGTTTTCAAATGCAAATGCTGTATCTGAAAATGCTGTGGCTTAGGTCAGGTGCACCCTAGTCCCCAGAGTGACATCCTTGCTGTTTCACACTTTGTATCTTCTGCAACAGATTTGCAAAGGCAGCACGCAGTTTGATTTCCTGACAGCTGCTTTACATGTTCTGGGCATGTTCTTGGAAGAGACCAGTCCTTGGAAAAGGACAGTCATGCTGGGAACAGTAGAGGGTCAGAGACACCCCCAGCAAGATGGACATTGATAGTGATGACAGGCTCAAGCTTATCAGAGATGATGGGGACTGTAATTCACAGGCATCCATTCGTCTTTGGTGTAACACAGGGCAAGATTCAGATCTGTTGTTCATAGGGTTGCTCTAACTTGTAGTAGACTCACTGGCAACAACAGCTTCCGTAGAGGTGTTTCTTGTTGTTGTTATGTGCCATTGAGTTGCTTGCAACTCCAAGCGACCCTGTGTATGATGGCCCTGAAGCCTGCTCTATCTTGTGCCAACCTTATTGTCTCTGACACACCTACCCTTATTACCCCAGTCACTGAATCAGCCCGTCTAATTGAGGGGCTTCCTCTCCTGTTCTGTCCCTCCACCCTCCCAAGCATGATGTCCCTCTCCAAGGACTGGTGCCTTCCTGAAACATACCCAAAGTGTGTCAGACGAAGCTTCAGAATCCTTGCCTCCAAGGAGCAGCCTGGTTTCACCCTCTCCAGGACAATTTATAGGGGAGGCTAAGTAAAACAAAATTGACTGCTTTGTTAATTTCTCTGTGGATCATGAGCATTTTTCTGTTGGGGGGTAAATAATACTGAAAGACTGTAGTCTTTGATCATCATCAGTAATTGATTCACAATCTCTGCTTTCAGAAAGCAAGGATAAGGGTCACTGGTATATCTGAAAGGCATAGTATGGCATGTGGTGGATGGCGACCTACCTGGTTATTGGCCGTCTTCATGATCACTGCTGTTTGGGTCCCATTACTGCAGCCATTGTCGGTTCATGTTGTTGAGGGGTTCCTCCCCCCCGCCGCCTCTCCTCTCCTTCCCCATTAACCAAACATGATGTCTGTCTACAGAGCTGCACAACCCAGGAATAATGCATCCACAGTAAACAAGTGGAAGACTCAGATAATATTCTGTGATCCATGAGATTCTCATTGGCTAATTGTCTTAATTAGCTCACTCACTTAGCTTTTTACCCCCTAGTCGTATTCTGAAATCTGTCCATTATAGGTGCCCCTGAAAGTGTGTAAAAGCAGGTTGGCAGATACCTGAAATAGCTTCTAGAACATTCTAGAACAGGTTACAGGTCTGGCCTGGATAGGGTGAAGCCAAACTGTTCCTTGGAGGCAAGGATTTAGAGACTCCATCTCATACTTTGGGCATGTAGCCAGGAGGGACCAGTCTTTGGAGAAGGACATGATGTTTGGAAGGGTCGCAGGACAGTGCAGGAGAGGAAGACCCCGGATGAGATGGATTGATAGAGTAACTGAGGTAATGGGAGGAGGTGTGTCGGAGTCTGGCTCAGGACAGGACAGGCTTCAGAGCTGCTGTACTAGGGTCACTAGGAGTTGTAGTCTCACGTGTGTATAAAATGATACTTCACCAGGGATGAGGCACACTTGTGTATCCCCAGTAAGTTCTTTGGTTGTCTGTAATACACATGAATTGTCTGCAGTATTCACAAAAAGATCACGGCCAGGTGGGCATCTGGGGTCCACTGCTCCCCGAGTGCTCAAAGTACAGTGTGCTGTGGAAAGGGCCAAGTAGATCCTTGCTCTCCTGCGGGGCTGTACCTGCAGGAACGGTGACATCCGTCCCTAAAAAGCACATCACCACCAGGTGGTTCTTCTCAAACTACGTTTTTAAGCGACGACAGGAGGAACCCTCATCCCTGCATTCTGTGCATGGGTTCTGAGATTTCATGTAAGACTTTCTCTGTTGCTAAGATTGTGTATCACCATGTTGTCTAGCCTGCCACTGGGTAAGGAATGACTGCAAAGTAACTCAGAGACGTAACAACTGAGAAGGGGGCTCCTAAGAGGTGGTCCCCGGCTCCTGATGCCCTTGTCCTCTGTTCCAGGTGGATGGAGGTGATTCGAAGTGCCACCAGCACGGCTCCGCGTGCCCACATCTTAAGCCCCAAGGAATCGCACGTGTACTGATGGCGGGACGTCCAGCCGTGGCTGCTTTCCAGAAGACATTTCCTCCATTCTGTATTAATGAAATCTAGTAAAATTAACACCTGTCTTAAAAGCAAAAACGTGGTTTCATAGCAACTCTCTCACCTGTCTCTCTGCAGAAATTGGTTTTTTTTTTTAACCTTGTCTTTTCCAATGTTGATTTCTCATCTGAACGGAAGCACTCTAACCTCGGATCCCGGGTGCCATTTGTTTGTCATTCTCTTGGTGGGCTGGTTTTTTGGTTTTGTTTTTTTTTTAATTATTATTATTAGCTTGTGCCAGTATTAAAACATTGTCATTATTATAGTGCCAAATGACATCCCCCCCCCTCCCGCATTAACTGCGCCTTCAGGAGCAGTACAAACACATCCGTTCAACCAATAAACAGGGCGAGTGCTCTTTTTCTTACAAAAAAACTTTTTATTATTTTGATTTATAGGCTGTTGCATTTTGAAAATGGAATAATAATGCATTTTCCAGTGTTTGCAACACTCAGGACTCAGTCTTGAGCAAGTGAGATCATTTTCTGATTCCCCCCACCCGCCCGATCTTTCTACTTTTATAATAATAGATTCGTAGGACTGCCTTCTTAGTAGATGAATTAGGATTTTGCAGCGCACAACGTTCCACTTTGGGGTTTCATGCTCTGATGAAACCCTTCTTACCAGACCTACTTCCTGGCGCAAGTTGACCAAACTGTTTTTAAGTGATTTACAGGATGTAGCAGTCTTGTTTTCTGTTAACAAGAGACACAGAAATCCAGTGCAATATCTGGTTATCCCTGTACTGTGAGTGGTGTATACAATGGGAAGATATGAAGCCGTGGTGTTTTGCTGTTTGTTTCACGAGCATGAAAACCCCCTGTACTGTCATTAATCAGGGCCATTTGTGACGTTATGTTATGGAGAGGTTTTGTGAGTTTATGTGGATGCAGAAACACTATATAAAGTAATGGTACGTAGTCCCTGGGCACGTGTATCCTGTATACCTATATCCTACTCCAACTGTGGTTTGGAACTGCACACTTATAGTAGTATATATTGTGCCTGTCTTATAAAAAAGCAAACCCCAATCAACATTCTTTTCTTTTTTATACTCATTCCCCCCCCCAGGCATAGGGTTTGGACAGTATGCCACTGCACATCCCCGCTAATCGGACTACACAGGGGACTTTGGTTTCCAACAAGTGCTGGGACCCCACTAGTTGAAAAAACACTTGCCTATATTCTGGTGAAGGGGGTGGCTTCTATTCCCTTAATACTGAAGATCCTTCCTAAAGCAAGTCTAACACAATCCCAAAGGAGCAAGAGGCCCTTTTCAACGTAGATCTCGTCTGTCGTTCTTCGGAACCACAGCTGGGAGCGTCTACCTGATTGGCAAACGTGCGGAAGTCCACAGAACTCTGGGGGGCTGGGACTGGTCTATGTGAGAATAGCCGTTTACAAATGGATGTGTAGCTTGAGACCTGTTAATCATTTGCCTTACAATATGTACCAGATGGTTTTATGTACTAACAAAAGGGAATAAAAATACCTCACGCCACAATCCAGCATATTGAACTTTTAAGGCAAACCACCAACTGGCTCTTGTCTTGATTTTCCTCAGGTGTGTGGGGTAGGGTGGGTGTCCAACCTCTCACTAAGACAAGACTTTAAAGGAAAATCTGTCCGCAGCTTGGCTGTCACTGGGGACATAAGGCTGATAATCAACTTCTACAGGTAAGGAGTAAGGAAGACAGTGCTCAGAGCCACATTCTTTGACAAAGGCCCTGAAAACAACATTGGGCTCTGGGGTTTGTCCAGCATCCAGTAGGCAGGACAGCCAGCCTGCCTGATGTGAAGCTGCTGTGTGCTTGACCCGTTGTCAAGCACCCGAGATGGAGTGATGTCAGAAAAATTCTCCCCTTAGGAGTCACTTGTCACCCACCTGCGAGACTATCGTGGTTCATTCACTGCCCGGGGCACAGCACACCAGAACTGACCGGAGTGCGCTGACACTGTTGTCACCATGTCCTACCCCCATCCCGACATTTCCTGGAAAACCAATTTACCTTCAGAACTGTTGTTAGGTGCCGTCAAATCGTAGACGACTCACAGCGACCCTATGAGCACTGTCCATAGAGTTTCCTGAGGCAAGCCATTTGGGAAGTGGACGCCACTGCTGCTTCTGAGCTTGTTTAATCCGGGAGCTCTGCCAGGGGTAACCATTATCGCATGTGGCACATCAGTGGCACAGTGTTCAGCTTCACAGCAACCACGAGTTACCTCTGTATAGCAGTGCACAGAGCAGTGCTATACTGTTCCCATACAAAAAATCCTGTCTCCTTAAAATTTTTAGTTTGTCAACAAAGACCTGAATAATCTTTACTCATCCTAAAAAATAAAAAAAGTTAAAAAAAAAAACCAAAAAAAAAACCACAAAACACCAGGGTGGGAACAAGAGTATCTGAGGTACGTGGTGCTGTTGTAACATATTGTTTCCTGCCTCAGTTCGGGAGGATCGGAGGTCTGAATGTAGACATGACTCTTACAGAAAAGGTCCTGCTTAAGCTAGAGAGCTCCTTGGTTCTCTTTGTTACGTGTGTGTACACTCTGGTGTGTATATAGAGCAGGTTTAGGTTCTACCCTACCCTGGCATGACAAAAGAAAACCCCTAGTTCCAAACATGTTGCCGCACACTTTTTAAATTGACAACCGTGCTTAGAAACACATTTGCAGTCATTTGCGACATGTTAAAAGTTACCAAAACCCAATGAACCACCAAGTCAATTCTGACCCAGCAAGCCTCTTGTGGGTTTTTAAGAGGCTGTCAGTTCCAAGGGAGGAGACTGCCATTCTTCTGGAAAGAGTGGAGCAGTTGATGGATTTGAACTTTGTGCCTTTGAGTTGATAGTTCAATTCCTTCTCCACTGGGCCACAGGAGAGCCATCCCATAGGCTTCCAAGACTCTAAATGTCTACAGCCACTTCCTGTTCTCAAGGAGCTGGTAGGTTCTAACTTGCTGAGAACTCTGGCCACTGCATCACCAGGGCTCCTCACACAGACACAGAGGGTAGGATTTTAGAGGACCCCAGCCCGTTGTGATGGATCATCTGTGTTCTTCTCCAGCACAAAGGCATCAATTCATCTGGCATCCCTATTCACTGTCCAGCTCTCAGATGCATAGCAAGGGATCGGAAGAACCATGGCCTGAATCAGATACACCTTAGTCCCCAAACTGAAGTCAGTACTCGTCAATAATATGGAGAGGTCCCTGACTGCACACTTTCCCAGTGCAGTATGTCTCCTGATTTCCTGACTGCTGGTACCAAGGGTGTTAGTTGTGGATCCAAGTAAGAAGTTGTTGCTGACAGTTTCAATTTCTTCTCTATCCACCAGGAAGTTGCCTATCGGCAACATGGACTGCCAAAAGAACAAATAAATATGTCTTGGAGAGGCTGCAGCCAGAGTGCTTTTTGGAGGTAGGGATGATGAGGCTTTTTGCCTCACACACTGTGGGCATGTTGCTAGGAGGGGCTAGACCCTGGAGAGAGACATGATGCTTGGAAGGGTGGAGGGCCATCAAAGGCAAGGCAGACTCTCAAACATGTGGAATGACACAGCGACTGCCACAGTGGGCTCTAGTGTGTCAGGAAGTGTGAGGATGGTATAAGACAGGACAGGGTTGGGGAGCTCTGGTGGCCTAGTGGCAAGAAGCTGCAACTACATCCCAGAGGTGCACGGTTCAAATCCACCAGATGCTCTGCCGCGAAAGGAGGGGCAAGCTCCTCCTGTACCAGTCAGATCTGATTTGACGGTACACGCACACAAAAAAAGGACAGGGTTCAGATCCACTGTTAACAAGGATGTTATGAGTCGTACCTGACAGCACCTAGCAGTAGGAGCCCGTCATGAACGCAGAGTAACCCACACCAAACGGAATTGCTCTGCACACAAGGCAGAGAATGACAAAACTAGTAACTTCTGCAAACCTTACGGAACCCTGTATTATACAGTACCTTAAGAACACCCCTCCCCTTAACACCATCCCTGTTTGTCTTGTTTTATACCAGAACACAGAAGCCATTTTTTTTTCAACCTTTATTGTGATTTGGGTGAAAGAAGCCATATTTTTAAAGGAAGGAAATATAAAAATGCTTATAAACGGACCACATGTTTTACCAAAAGAAAGGTACAAAAACACTACACAAAGAACTGGACTAGCCCGCTTGGTGAGCCCAACTTGAGGGCCAGTTACTATGTTGCTGGATTCGGAAGGGCTGTGACACTTCATTGCATTAAGAAAATGTGATGATCCCACATTTACTACACGGTTTTTGAGACTAGAAAAACTAAATAGTACCCAGCTACCAATACAGACCATTCTGATTAGGTCGTCCTGGACACGATGACAATACAGAGCAAATTATTATGCTAATTTTTTTTTAAAAAAGGCAACATTATGGAGGGTTGGGAGGGGAGAAAAAGTGCAACAATGAATGAATGGAAATCCAAAGTCTCTGTAAATTTTCACTGAAATTAATAATTTTTTTTTAAAAAAGGCAACATTTACTGGACAGATGAGAGGAACCCCTAAGGTACCCTTTGAATTTGAAATGGAACTATTTTTGCAGGTGATTTTCCATTTCAGCCAGCTGACAGACTGGCTTATTACAAATCACCAGTGAGGACCGTGCTCCCTTAAACAATTAATGACATTAGAATGGCTGATGTTTATCCAGCGGCAAAGATAAGAAAGCAAGGTGGTAAAGGGAAGCTAGAACAAGGGAAACAGAGCAAGCAGAACAGAAATGAGAATGCTGCCACACTGTAAAAAACTAACCAACGGCATGGGCAATCTGTAGTAAAAACTGTTAAAAAGGAACCTGTTGTCACAACCTTCACCTAAAACACAGTTGTTGGCACTGTGGGCCGTCAAACCGACCCACAGCTAACCCTCCAGCGGGTTTTCAGAGGCAGTAAATCACACAGGAGATTGCCTATCTTTCTCCTGTGAGCAGCTGGTGGATTTGAACTGCATGCCTTTGGGAACGCAGCACAGCTTCTTACCACTAGGCCACCAGAGCTCCCCTGAAAGCCCAGTAAGGTATTTTAAAAAAAAAACAAACAACTGAGAAAAACGGGTCTCTAACATTGTCAAGGCATCACAGACCACCCCTGGTGGCCCAACACAGGCAATACGACCAGCTGGGGACACAGAGGAGACATTCAAAACAATATAACCACCAACGATAGCTGGAACACTACCATCATTTCTGTCCTGTCATTCCTGTTTCTGGAGAACAAGCTTTCAACTCATCTACATAAACGAGGCCTGCAGTCGAGGGCAGATACTCCACCAACAGTGTGATTTTGGCTCACTGAGATGTTTCCAAATGTTCATGTGTTGTTACCATCCCCGTCTCACAGGTATGGCCTGTCTGGGTCATTCATGTTCAGCTCCACTCCAACCTAGTTCATCTCTGCCACTGAAGGACCTTGCATACATACACAAATTCTAGCCTCCCTGGTTAAACAAGGTCCCCATCAACACTTCAGCTGATTTTATAACTACAGAAAGCAGTAGCCAGAACAACTGGGCAGGGAAGAGATCTGCTTTCTACCAGTCAAACCTCTTCTGTAGGAAGCTTCTACAGAAGACGCTTCTAATAAACTAAGGGGGGAGGGGGGCACCTGCTGCTTTCTACAGGAGACACAATTGTGCATCATACGCCAGGGATGGCCCAGTGTCTGCTAACTGCCACCAGCACGTGTGGGGCGACTCCAGCCTCTGGTCAGCATAACCTGAGGCTGGCTGCAGCAGCCCAAGCCCCGACCTCGGGGTCTGTTTGTCAATCTGAAGAACTCTTGGATCACAACACTTGCTCTGTCCGGTTTCTGGAAACCAGACATGCCGCAACACTGATGTTTTTTTTTTTTCTTTCTCCCTGCAATGAATCTTTGGCTTATTCATAAGGGGAAGTATGTCTCCCATACAGAACACTCTTTAGAGAAACAAAATATTCTCCTTTTGATTGTTCGAGTTAAAATTCTTGCTGCTCCAGAACAATGCCTACAGCTCTTGTCAAAGCGGACCCAGGAGAGCCCGTGTCAGGTGTGCGAGGCTGAGTCTTCACTGGAGGTTCACCATCTTGCTCCTGTGTAGCTGGTGACTCTCAACAGCCGACCTTCTCACTCGCAATCCAACACGCCACCAGGGCCCCATAATGCACGCAGTAACGTTAGTCATTTACGTTCTACATTTGGCCAAAACACATCTCTTGCCTTTTCACCCAAATCTAATTCTAATACAAAGTTCATGATTGAATTTTAAGAGTTTGAAAAAAAACCCCTCACCTCATGTGGCTAGTAATCCACCACTCAAATGACTCTGGCTTGGGCCTCTGTTCTCCTCCTATAATTCCGTCGGTCACTAGGCCTGGAGGTACTCATGTTCAATCTGCAAAGTCTGTTCAGTAACTTCCTTGTGTCCAAAGAACCACTCAGGAGCGGGCACTCCAGCATTAAACAGAGGACAATAATTAGTCTCAACAAACACAACTGAAACACCGACTTAACTCAGGCAAGCAGGCACTACTACAAGCACTTTTCTATCCCAGAAACCTATGAGCTCTTTCCAGGCCAGTGAGGTCCTGCAGCAAACCAAGAGAAATACAGCCACCCTGGCTGGCCAGCTAACAAACACTAGCTCCGTGTAAAACTAAACCGCGGTCCCTGGGAAAAGGTGAAGAAATTTCACACATCAATCAACCTTGAATCACACCGTCACAGAAGCCGATTTCTAAAAAGTTGCATAGGGAAGTGACTTATTCAACATTTTCAATCTGAGCACTTTAGTCTTCTGACATATCTCATCTCGCTCGCTCTCTCTCTCATACACACACCCCCCACCCATCTCTGCAGGTACATTTTCCTCTGAAGAGTCACATATCAAGAAGAATATGCAAAATAAGCATGATACAAATGTACTGGTATAAGCATTCTGACACTTTCAGGTGGGAAAGGGTATGTAGATTTAACCACAAGGACCAACAGAAAAGAGTGAACAAACAGGGCAGTTACACATGGCGCAGGACTGGCGGTGACACAAATCCAAACATGGTAAATGAGAGCGCTTCATCTGGGGGGGGACACTTTAAAAGTAATCATTTAAAGCTTCATGGGACAAGATATGTTCCAAATTAAAACACTAAGAAATAGTACCATTGATGAAAAAAAGGAAATCAACTTCCAAGTGTACCAAAAGGGATGGAGGGCAAAAGAGGAAACTGCATTTTCTGAGGTACAAATAGGAGTTTTCCGTAAGAGGGGCATTAATTATTATTAATGGCAAACCCTGCAAATACAAAATAAAACCCAAATCACTGATCACATAATTCAAAATTTACATGTTTAATAAAGGGAAGGCAATAGACTCAAGTTATGGCCTGTCCAATATTTACTCCACTGACATTATCTACAGAAGCACTTGGCCAATTTGTACACAGTGATTCTTTATGCACGCCAAAAGGGTTTCCGTAAAAATGACACTATATACAGATCTGTACACCGACCCACCAGAGCAATTCTCCGTCTCCCGGGGGGAGCTAGCGACTTAAAGCGGGATACCTGAGGTTTCATTTCTTCAGTTGCCTTATCATAATCCCAAATATACATTTCAGGGTTGGTTTTTGTGTTTAAAGACACTTTCCTTGAATATGTGCACTATGGTTAAAATAAAAAAAACAAACCAGAACAGTAAAGTGAACGGATCGCTTGCAGGAGCCGGCCCTGTCCACCCCGTCGGAGAGGTGTCATCTTGCAGCAAGGGGACGGTGGATCCCTGGGCGAGCCTCCTGATCCGGGAACCCCCGCAGTGGCACACCTCTTCTCAGAGTCAGCAAAGGGCTCTCGGTGACTTTTAAAAAGGAGGAAGATGAAGAAGAGAAAAAAAAAAAACGGGGGAGGGGAGATAAAACCCCAAACGCCAAAGGAATTTCAATGGGATGAGGTTCCTCCACCACTTAGGGAATATCTAGGGAAAGAGAAAGAGGGAAATTAAGTGTCATTTCTCCAACCTCACGAAACAGTTCACATAACAAAACTACAAGGGTGTGTCCCTCTAGGTCACAAGAAATGTGCAATAGCAATCAAGGGTTCATATATCCACTACTAAAGAATTACTAGAAAAGTAAGGAAAGCTTGATTTCAGAACAAAACCTTGTCATTAATTTTCTCAAAGATAAACTATGTGAGAGTATGCTCAAATGTGAACAGGTGCAATGCTGAAATGCCTCCTTATTCCAAATCCACTTTGAAACGGGAAAATCCGTGGTGCCCAATGACATCATCAGATTTCACAGATACACATGCACGGATGTGAGTAAGAGAAATTTTTTGGTCACAAAAATATTCATGCTTGACCAAATAAATCCCCTTCCTAGAATGGTTTCAGTAATGTAGTCCTTAAGAATGAACAGCTTAAATAAACTTGTATAAAACACAGACACACAGACTGAACAGCTTATCTGCACAAAAATCTTTTTTAGAATTATAATGAATTAACAGTAACTTAGAAACTCAAAGGTAGAGAAATGGTTAAATAAATTACAGCAAACAATGATCTACAGGTGAAAAGCTGTTACATGGTTAACTCTTGCATCATAAAAATTTATACAAGTTAGTAAGTGCACAGAAATTGTGTACTGCATAATCTGTCAACATGTAAAACTAGAATAACTTTATGTTTTATACATAATAACGAAGGAAGGGCACAAAAAGATAACTGGGCTGGAGTGGAGGACCATGAGTAAATTTCCTGGTTACGTAAAGATATGGGAGGTCACCTGAAGACCCAGCTTTTCCTCAACTACCTCCTACCTGTAAAATGGATTACAATTTTTAAAACAGTAAAGTGTTTTTATTTTCTGGTCTAAACCTTAAAGCAAGTTAAAAGACTGGACTATCCTTTTACTAGGCAGCTGAGTTCAGGAGATTAACCCCACACACCGAGGAGACAAAACTGGTTTTCTTTGGATACTCCTGTGGGAGGGGCTCCTGACAGGAGAGCAGGTGTCCCTCCACCAGGTGTTCGTATGGACCCCCACAGACAAGGATCCAGCTGTGAGAGGTGGTCTCCTCCGTCAGGTGTTCCAATAGTACTTCACAATGACCCATCCAGCCGTAAGAGGAGCTCCTCACAGGCAGCCCCTCCGTCAGGTGCTCTATGGTACCCCACACTCCACTGACCCAGCTGTGAGACGGCTCCTCACAGGCAGCCCCCCCAAAACAGGTGCTCTTATGGTACCCACAGAGAATGACCCAGCCTAGCACACAGGCTGTGCGAGATGGCCGACTGAATGCATGCCATGGCCAACAAAGGAGACGATTTTTAGCTTTTGATAGTTCGGGACAATTCCTTTTAAAGACACAAAACCAAACGCAGAGTGGCAAACATGTGGTCAGGAATCATACTTCCCAGATAACTGTGCTGTGTGGTTAAGAGCGGACAGACCTCTGACGGTCACCCGGGGGCCCAACGCTCTGGGGTCCTTCCTGTCCAGCTCCACAGCACTGGGTTTCTAGAATTCAGAACAAATTCTTCTCTAACACCACTCTGTGGTCACTGATTTACAAGAGACCAAGCACAGAGCACCAAGAGGGTGACTTGGCCTGGTCCTTTGCAAGGAGTGTCCACTCCCGATAAAAGAAACCAATGGAGGAAAATGCACGTGTCCTCTGACAGGGGGACGCCGGGGGCAGTTACCTCTGGAGCCGCTGTACGAGCTGGGCCACCATGGTGTCGGAAATCCCGGGGCACGCCTCTTCAGCCAGGTAGATGGCCCCTCGAAGTTCCTCTATGGAGCCCAGGTTACCTCCGCACGCCTGGCTCTTCTCCTTCAACTTAAACACACAAGGATAACACAAGCCACGTGAGCTCAGAACGGAGGGGCACGTTGTTTCAGGAGCAATACAACATCTGGTCCCACACAACACTAGTCATGCAAACATCAGCCGTGGGGGGCACCTCAGACTCGTCTCAAGGGAAAGCTCTTGGAATTCTCTGACACATTCCAAGTACAGGTGACAACAGCCAGGTCTAATTACCACCTACACTCAAGGAGAAAGGAGAGCTTCCGTGATTGAGGGCTCAGCTGTCAGCGGGTGGGCAGTTCAAATCCACCAGCCGCTCCTATGTGCGTAAACAGAGTGCTGACGGCGGTGGGAGCTGACAAGTTGATTCCAATGCTGAGGACCTTCTGGACAGCAAGCAGAAAGAAACACCGCCAGGTCCTGGAAGGACACAGCCGCGGACACTCTATGGAGTGGATCTGGCTTGTCCTTCAGGGTCACTATGTCATGGAATCAGCACCATAGTGACGACGGGTATGGTTTACAGAAAAAACACAGCAGTAACAAGCTTCCCATATGCCTTTCCTAAGTCTGACCATGATGCTTTGTGCTCTCTACTTATAGTGTTCTTTCTCTATTCTCACCTAAACAGTGTCCCCCAAAAGTGATTTAGAAGCCCCGCTCGGCGTGGCTGCCGACACTGAACCAGCAGTGCACATCGTCCAAGCCTTGGCCCCCAATGTGAGTGAGCTGGTCCCTCAACTCCAGAAAACCATCTTTTATGTCCATAGTGTTGTCAACCCCTCCATCCCAGAAAGAATGATGACAACAGATGCTGCCTAAGTCAGCACACAGCTCAGGGCTCACAGTGTCTCAGGCTGCCAAGCAGGAGAGCACCCCGCCCTTCCTCCACTCCATCTTCAGGGCCAGTAAGGAAAACTTCATAAAGCCTTTGGCTTTGATACCACAGGCCACTGTGAAAGCATGTCCTTTCCAGCAGGCGTCTCAATTCTGACCTAAAAACAACAGCTTCTCCTCTATTCCTGAACGAAGCACACAATGGACTGGGAGGTCGGATGGCGTGAGGCATGCAGAGTACTCAGCATCCCAGAGAACACGCACGTTCCTTAAGATCCTTCTCCTTCGACTCCAACACAGCTGACTTTGAGACGGTCACTAGTGTTCCTCTCCAACTGTCCATCACTTAACTACCACTAAACACACACAGTGTTTACAAGCACTAGAGTGAGTAATCTGTAGTTTCCATGGTCCCTCCCATTCCCTGCAGCTACTTTCTTCCACTGCCCCACCCTGCCCTGTGACCCACATGTCTGTAAAATAAGGAACAAAGCAGAAACAAGGAAGTCCAGCAGGGATGGCCCTGGAAAAGCTGAACTTGAAGGCAGCCGGCTGTGCCCTGGGACTTAAGAGACCTAGGCATCATTTGCAGGCTATGTGGCACTGGGGAAACCGGGTTTCGTTTGCAGAGCCTTTTACTAAGTCTTTTAATAGACAACACTTTAATATGTTAAATATTATTATTATTAAAAAACACAAAGAGAGATTTTATGTGAGCATGCTTTTAGGTTGGCTGAGAAAATAAAGGGTCCGACATCTACGAACCCCTAGAAGTGTATAACGTATCAGGGTGCCGACCAAGAGGCCGGCAGTTTGAATCCACCAGCTGCTCGGCAGGAGAAATGGGCAGTGTCCTCCCACACAACAGCTCATGGAATCTGAACCACCTGAGTGGCAGTGAGCAGGGTCTGAGTTTGGGATTACTGTGAGGTGAATCCTGAACAATGAGTTTCTGCAACAGTTTTTCATGTACCCAACAACAAAAGAATATTACCAGCCTCGGGCAAACGAGAAAATCTATGCCATTTTCTCTAACTGCCTTGACTGATCTTCCCATTAAACCATCAAGGGGGTGGGGGGATCACAGGAAAGCAACAGCCCATCAAAAAAAGCCTAGGGGTTAAGCTTTCAAACAAAAACAAATACATAATTGGCCCTTTAAGGACATCCTTGCTGTTAGTGCTCACCAAGAAGGGCCTGCTGGATTCTCAAGCCTACAATCCTGCAGAAACTCAATTCCAGGCCTGGTTTCCAAGAGGCACCACTGGGCAGGCTTGAACTGCCAACTGCTGGAGGAGGACTCACATGTTTATAGTTGTTTTAATCACTCAAGGATTCTTAGGCACATACTAGAACACGTAAAATAAATAGCCAGAAAAATCGTCAAGGTTGGCATCCAATGGCCCTGCTTCTTTTTTCAAAGCAAAGGCAGGTTTATTAGAAAAGACACATCTCGTAGTGAGAGAGGTTAGTGCTCCAGAAGTAAGTAAGAAGAGGAAAGACCTGAGCCTGCATTGATAACGGGGCTATCCTGGGTACTGAGAGAGTAAAGACTAAAGTGAAATCTGGGGGCACATGAGAAAAAGGAAGACTCAAGGGCAATCAGGAATTGTCTTTAAATCTGAGGCCAAGAGATCAGCGGTTGCACACAACTAGGCTTTATACAAAGTACAAAGCAGCTCAGTGAAGTTGAAAATCATCCTGGTAATACAGGGACTTGGCGTTATTGGGTCACTGATATGCCATCCATAAACCTGGGTTGACTGGGTACTTCCCACAAGAGATGTGATAGAAGACCAGCACCCAGAGACATGGCAGGTGTGCACGTGGAACACGGCATCAGCCAACCTCAAAGAAAGCATGGCACACTCCTGAACGCCCCTCACCTCTGCCAAGACCACCCCCACAGCTCACCACTTCTCCCCAGGCCAGGCCAGTACAGGGCAGGGATCTTACCTCTGCAAACAGTGGAGAAATAATTGTGGATAAACACTGAGAGAAAGGCCTCTTTGGGATGTCTTTTACCTTCAAGGAGAAAAAGGGGGAAAATAATCAGAAATCTTTAACATTTTCATTCCAATCTGCAGTAATTCCGTAAACTCTAGTTCTGGACTATCAAAAGATAAACTCTGTTTCTACAATCTCACCATTATGAAATGGTCTCTGTTCACCATAATGCTGAATAGGACGGTTTTTCACTAACTACAGAATCATCACAAAGTTTCATTCGCAGTGACGTGACAAAATCCGTACAGCTGTGCACATCACTATCTCTGGGCTCCGTGTAGAAAGGGACTAAACCCACAGGATTTGGTGTTGGTCCAACTACACTAACTCTCCCCTCAGCACTCTCCACATACAAGAAACTCTACTAATTAAACTCCAGGAACGTAAAGAAGATCCAAGTAGCTATCACAGAGCAGTGGCCTGTTTTCTAGTATTTTGCAAACTCAGGGTCCCCAAAGCTTAAGAGAAATAAGCGCTGTGCTTTAGAAAGAACCGAAAGTAGAGCTTTTCATAAATTTACACACACATACAATACAATACAGGTCATGGTTTTTGCAATCACTTGTTATGC